TAGCTAAATCAAGCTATATAGCTAAATCAAGAGATTGTGCTGGACCTGATTACATTTGATTTATGTTGTAATAGCTAGCATTTTCACTTGCCCAAAAGCTGTAAATCAAGTCCTGTGTTTTAAATGCAAAATCCGAAAACGGACATTGATACCAAGAACTGAGATTTTCAGCATGATTTATAATAACTGCAATAATGTACAGCAATGCAAATTTAAAATATAATGAATTAAGAATGAAAATTTATATGAATGCCAATAAATATAAGCATGGCATTGCATAAAAAGCGCATATTTTCAGTTTTATGTCGTAGAACTCGTAGCCACAGTATCATAATTATACACAAGTGTGTGTTACATGGACTTGGTTCTACTTAAGAGCCCCCCCTTTTTTTACAATAAAAGTGAATTTTTAGGATTTGATCTATGGATTACTTTTTTAGCTCACCTCGACGAAGTCGAGATGAGCTTATGCTATACCCCTGGCGTCGGCGTTAGCGTTGGCGTCCCGGTTAAAGTTTTAGGAGCAAATCCCATTCCCAAGTAACTATTAGCCCTACCTGGACCAAACTTGCATGGATGATTGCTTCTAGGGATGGACACTACCACACTTGCTTCGGATGCTGGATCTGACCTAGATTTTCCAAATGAGTGACCAGGTTAAAGTTTTTGGAGCAGATCCATTCCCAAGTAACTATAAACCCTACCTGGACCAGACTTGCATGGATGATGCATCTAGGGATGGACACTACCACACTTGCTTAGGATGCTGGATCTGACCTCGATTTTCCAGATGAGTGACCAGGTTAAAGTTTTTGGAGCAGGTCCATTCCCAAGTATCTATAAGCCCTACCTGGACCAAACTTGCATGGATGATGCATCTAGGGATGGACACTACCACACTTGCTTAGGATGCTTGATCTGACCTAGATTTTCCAGATGAGTGATCAGGTTAAATTTTTTGGAGCAGGTCCATTTTCTGGTAAGTATAAGCCCTACCTTGACCAAACTTGCATGGATGATGCATCCAAAGGATGGACACTACCTCACTTGCTTCGAATGCTGGATCTGAGCTAGATTTTCCACATGTGAGACCAGGTTTAGATTTTGGAGCAGTCCCGTTACCAAGTAACTTTAAGCCCTACCTGGACCAAACTTTCATGGATGATGCATCTAGGGGTGGACACTAACCAACCTGCTTCGGATGGTGGATCTGACCTAGATTTTCTACATGAGTGAATTTTAGCCATATTTTAACCAAATTAGCATGGATGATGTATCTAGGGATGGACACTACCAGACTTGCTTTGGATTCTGAATCTGACTTACATTATCCAGATGAGTGACCAGGGTAATTTTTTTTGGTGTAGCTATATATATAATATTATGGCCTGTTATGATTAAATTTGCATAGATGGTGCATCTAAGGATGAAAACTTCCAGACTTGCTCTGGATGTTGGAACTGACCAAAATTTTCTTGATTACTAAACAGGTTAAAAGTTTTTTGAGCAAGTCTATTTCCAAGTAACTACAAGTCCTACTTAAACCAAACTTGCAAGGATATTGAGGGCTCAACATTAACGTTTGTCCACTTGTCCGGCACCAGTGAAAAAAAAAATACAGACAAGTGAATATTGCTGGGCACTTGTCCAATTGGACAAGTGCATTTTTATGTAAAGAAGACTCTAAATATTTAAAAGAACGACTGTTAAAATTTTACCGGTACTTTAAGACGGAAACAGTACATAAAAACTGAACTTCAATCCCGATATAGATCGCTATGTGATTGAGTACACTTGAATGGGATTGAAGTTCACTAATTGCATACTACTGCAAAGGCATGGAACTGACGAAGTTCGGATTCTGTTTTATGTTGACAGCATTTGTGTTGTCAGGACAGAAAGTCTGGATAAAATTTTGTTTTATGTGTTTGTTGTATTTGTAAATAACATCATGCACATGTAATGTATTAGTACTTTATTTTTAGTTTTTCAGTTTACAGTTACTGTATTAGATCTTTATTGAAAATTTTTCGGACAAGTGAAGTTGAAGTTCGGACAAGTAAATGTCTTGGTCACTTGTCCGAATGGAAAAGTAGGAAAAAAAGTTAATGTCGAGCCCTGATATTGATCTTGGGATGTTCCCTAACTTGAAAAAAATATGATGTGAAATTTGCCTTACTTATAGATAACATTCGTCAAGGTGAGCTTCGTAATCTTTGATTACCCCTATGTTTTATATAAAAATTTATGTAATTTGTATCATTGTTTTAATATATATATATATATATATATATATATATATATATATATATATATATATATATATATAGAGTAGGATAAAACGTACGTACTTTAATACATCTGAAGAGATACATTTATGTATTAAATTACATGTTATCTAGAGCCTAAATTGAACATGTTGAATATTGATTCAAATATTGCTATTAATCATAATATCACATAGAAAAAAAAAACAGTCTATTTGATTTTAGTATCTTTGATTTGTAATAGATAGTTTTCATACGACATATTTTCTCTCCGAGTTATTTCCCCTGGCTGCCATCTTGGTGGTCAAGCTGGTTATTTTTCCTCTTTGTCTTACCAAATTTAAGAGGATGTAGCAGAAATATTTTGTAGAAAATCTTTATGGAATAAAGATTATGAAAAAAGGAGGCTTTAACAAATTAATATTTTTTAGAAAAACAATGCTTCCTACCCCACAATGGCCAGTATAAAAAAAGTAAAAAGTTGGTTGAATATACCTAGCACATTCCCAAATGACGATTTGAAAACAGGGCTATAAAATTATTTTCAACTGAGAAACTACATAGTCCAGAACCAACCTAGATCTAAAATCATGAAATTCTCCCACAGATAAATTTAGGGGACTAATTTTAAGGAAACTTCTTCCTCAAAATTGTTCAATAAAATCCTCTCTTTTTTTAAAAAAAATTAATGTGTATTTATTTAATGAAAAATGTGAAGATAAGGAACAGTGATCAATCTCCAAGTACCTACAAACAGTGGAAATCTGTGAACACTACTGCATGTCAATTCAGCGATCAATATCCTGGCTGTGTGATTGCCAGGGAACAGCAGTCAGCACCAATTTTAATACCACTAACTCGTCTGTATTCACAGTATGAATTTTATGTTTTGACAATAAAAAAAAGTCTTAAAATCCATTCAACTTTTTTGACGACATCGATAGGCTAGCTACCATGTTTTACTACTTCTGTATATTTTAACAACATGTTAATCATGCCATTGGTAAAATTCTAAAGGAGTTCCAACCGAGTATTCGGTGTAGTGGTCAACAGCAGTGATAATAGGTGCTTTGCTGTAATTCATGATACTTTAAAATTGATGACACAAAAGACATTTCAGTATATGATGTATATTTGTTAAAAGCACTTGTCTGCGGGCAGGCACCACTTATCAAATAACTTGCCCAAAAAACAAAATTGGTTGTCCCTGGCATTGGGCAATGCTATTTGTCTAGCCCTGGAAAACATAAACAGTTCATTTTAATACATCTATTTCATTTTTCATATATATACAATTTATTAACATTAATCTATTTTATTGAGAAGAATAAATGTCAATTAATTCACTTATTTCATTATTTTTGTTTTCTATTTCTTTAATCCTTACAATAACATACTCAACAAGTATTAGCTTTCCTAAAAAGCTTGTCTGACGTGAGCAAATTTATTATACGCAAAGAATCCAAAAAAGTTAAGGACATACGCAACGTAGTTTTAACTTTATTATCTTTTTTTCAGGAGTTGAAGAGTTCCGATACTTAAAGGAACTGTGTGCTAGATTTTAATGTCTATATATGCGGTTGTACAGTTCTTCTAAAACAAGTTTGGATAAACAAAACATCTAGAATATATGTTTAGTATTTTTTGTATATTTTTCTTTGAATTATGCAAGAATTATTTTCATCAATTGATATCTTTTCAAAACCCCTGGTAATGCATGCTGATTTTTTGTCTATGAACATCTGATGGCACTATAATCTTAAATTAAGAATATCTTGAAAAATTATCAGTAGGTAAGGTACGTTGCGTATGTCCTTAAATCCAGTGTATCAACATGACCCCGAGTGAAGAAATGAATTCTTTTTTCCCCAAGAAACAAGAAAAGTTCAATTTAGTGGCATAAATTAAAACTTTGACATGAATTTATACTGTATCCACTATTTGTAATTTTTTTCATGGCGGTAGGAACTGGGGGTTGGGATGGGGTTGCCGATTTATGCATAACTACTTTATGCTGGTGTTTCAATCATGTAAAACTTTTTTCAGCTTGAAAAGACATTTTTCTTCCATAGTGCACACCCTAAACTGAAAATATTTGGTTGTTCACCCCATTTTTCTTTGATAGGGCACACCCTAAACTGAAAATTTTTGGTTGGGGGGGTAATCATTACCTCGGCTACAAATGTGCAATTTACAATTTGCAGTTTCTATTTATTGTCTAAGTTATAATTGTACATTTTTTGCATGGCATTTGAAATTTTGGCTGCCGGCGGGGGCATTCATGGTGTTACGACACATCTAGTTTTCATATACATGCTGTCAAACTTGGTTATTTACAACTTGATGGGACCAAAAAATACTTCGAGATATCTGTGGGTTATAGATATCAAGGGTAAAACACTTAATGAAAAAGTAAAAGAAAAAGTAGTTGTGATTTGGAAAATCACCTAAACATATCCATGGATTTGAGATATTGTTGTTTTGGATAAGAAGTTCAACCGTACATGTATTACAGTTGAATGAGAAATTTATATATTTGATCACTCCTACATATTCATTAAAATAACCCCATACATGTACATCTACAGGATAAAAAAAATGAATTCAATATTAATATAGAGTTTCTGGTACTGAAATTTGCACTCTTTAAATACTTAAAAATTAATCAACTTGAATGGCTGATAAAAAAAAAAAAGAAGCAATATATTATATATTTAATATAATTTCAGACTGGAATTGGAAGTAAAAAAGAATTACACAATGGAGATGCTGAATTTGAAGTTGCTGAGAATTCTGATTTTGTATGAAGCAGCAATTTTGGTAAGACTTCAACTGAAGACATGATACATACAATTACAACTTGGAATGATATTTATAGCTTTTATTGATTGTATTCAGTCAGGGGGGAGACTGAAATCATTTTGAAAAATGATGAAATTTAATTTTGATTTTATGACTTAAACTTGTCATTTTCAAGAAAATTATGAAAAACAGTCCTAAAATGTAGAGTGTTTCAAAATTTTATTCTTGCATATATAGATATAGATATATACCTGGTCCCAGGATCATGAAACAGACTTAGACTTAAGTCAATTTTTCAATCGCTTGCAAAATGTTTATTAATTACTAATTTAATCTCTAAATTTGCAGATAACAACAATTTTGTAAAGCAATATTGAAATACATTTTAATTTTATACTACTTGAACCCTACAAAAATTTAGTGTAACATAAAGATTTTGACTTAAGCTTAAGATGTTTCATGATCCTGGGCCCTGTATATATATATTTTTTTACTGAAGGTTATCTACCACAATCCCCAAAATTAGTGAAAGTGTTGTCTGGCTTATAAATTGTATGCCAATTAATCATCTCTTGAAAATCAGCTGTGGCCAAAATTTGGCAATCGACATTATCTTCTTTTAATTATCCAGTATAAATATTCTGATGATCATTCTCAGGTGAATGCTGCCGACTCTTGTAAAGCCTCTAGAGGGACTGTGGCCAGAGTCGGCAAATGTCCCGAGAATGAAGCTGAATGGATGGAGGCAGCCAAAAGAAAGAATTGTTCATCCCTTGCTGGACTGTGTCCAGAGCCTGACAGATTTGTGTATCATTGTGTATTGAACTTCTTTCTCAATGAAACTCTTGAAGTGTGTGCTTATGGAAGGAGAATCCTTCTAGGTTTGTACTGCAAAATATTTCTGATCATTGTAAGCACCAGCCCATTCTTCCAAACTCAGAGATAGACATTAATGGTGAATGTCCAATTGCCCGGGCCAAGTAAATCTCTGCTAGGGCAAGGGAACTTAGTAGCAATGAACTTGTCCGATCAGACAAGTAAATAATTCTTATAGAAACACATATTCTTTAATTATATTACATAAATAATTCAAAAATGCATTCTACAGGGTTACTCTCCATTAATAACTCTGCTAAACAAATTAAAAGTATATTTGTAGCAATTAAAAATTTAAAAATAGAGCAAAGAATCCTAGCGGAAATGACATTGTCTAGAACGATTCCTTGAAACAATATGTAATAATATATTAGCAAATGTTAATTAACTTTTATAGTTCCATTCCTCTTTCTAGGGTTACAGAAATCAAAGTAATGAATTTATTTTTCTAAATTTCAGTTTTACCTTTGGATAATCCAAAGTTTGTTTTCACTTGCCCAAGGGGCAAGTTGATATGAAAGTTAATGTCCCTGCAACCTTCAATAGGTTTGTTCTGTCCCCTTTGTAATCGTAGCATTTTACATTTTATGTGGCTATAAAGAGTCAGCTATGTGTATATGACTGAATATCTTGACTAATAGAAAACCTTTGGAAAACTTTACACACTGTTGAAAAGGATATCATGTTAGTTCACATTATTTTATACAGGTATTTTAAATTACTGGTAGATTTTAACTGTTTATCTGATGAAGTTACATTGGAGAAATCAACTTATTTTATAAATGCAAGATTTCAGAATACACAAATTATACTATACATACCATACATACATGTATCTTGATTTTAGGGAGATGTACAGAGTACAGCATTCTAGGAAATCTGATCCAGGAGAGTAGGGTAGACTGTAAAATGTTTCTCAGGCCCTGTCCTGTTATATATCCATCCACTGAGGCATACAAATGTAAGTTTGTTACACACCACCCCAAGATCTTTTTCTTTACTCTTTGGTATCTAGTAGGGGTGGGATGATACACAGATCTTGCGATACGATACATATAACACGATACAATACGTATCTCGATATTATGATAAAGTATAAAACTATTTTTAAAAAAAATTCATTTTTTTTCTTGACAATAAATCAACAAATTATTCTATATCAAATCATATGTGATATGAAATTAATACATGAAGTTCATAAATTTTATTGACTAAATATTTGCAAGAACAATATTACTTGTACTTATTGCCAAATGTCTATAAACAAGTTGTTTAGAAATAGCTGTGTAGTTCATCAAGAACACTGACTAAAAATTCATTTAAAAAAACATCACATGTACATTTATTATTAATTGCTGAAAGTCTGTAACCAAGTTGAATTCACCACCAACAACAAAAAATTGATCCACGATTTGTTTCTAAATTTCAAATTCTTGAAACAGAGAATCCATGCTTTGTCATGAGCTGTTAAAGTCAGATGGACTATCATATTAATAATATCAACTGTTGTGGTAACGATACTTTCTGTATATCACACGCTTTAGCGGCTTTACATACTGAACTTTTCTTGATACTGAACTTTTCTTGCCCCATCTTCCGAGGAGGCTTAAAAGTGAAAATGTTTTACCCCTTATCTACGACTTATAAGTTCTAAAGCGTGTTGTCAATATCAATATCATCTCTTCTCTTTGTACAAGCCGCCATTTTCCAAGTACAACTACTTTCATTTTCAATTTTTTGATAGGTCGTTCGTGTATCGTTTCGTACAGATATTTTAGTGCATGTATCGTAAACCGTATCTTAGAAGAAAATATCGGTATGTATCGGTGTATCGGTATATCGTCCCACCCCTAGTATCTAGCACATGTCTAGCAGGCAAACCGTTTGCAAGCTTATATAAATGAGTATACTCAACCGTTTTTCCATACAGAATTTTGAAATTCTTGTCTTTGGGTCCTTTTTTTTCTAAAGGACATGTTACAGGTACACAAATGCAGCTTTTGTAAAACTCCATAATGTGAGTACAAGTTAGTTGGGTATTGTGTTCTGTTCACACTGGGAGAGGATCATTTAAGTTAAATTTAAGTTACTAAATATTAAATATGAACTGTGTTCTTTCTAAAAATTTTCAATGTAAATTAATTAATTCCAGTTATTTCACATTGTATCAAACTACTTCATATTACTTCTGTGTGAATGCCAAGCAAAGCTAATTTGAATTAAAATTTTGCATAAAAATTTTAAGTGTCCTGCCAAATGTCAGTGGTCATTATTAAATATGCTATTTTTGAAAGGAGAAAAAAACAAAACAAAATAATTATATTAACATGATTAAACTGCTAAAAATTTGAAAAACATATAAACAGATGTAAGGATTGGAATTAACGTTTTCTCCTACAGGCTTATTTCAGCTTATGGAAATGAAATTCACAAGTTAAGCTAAGATGAAAATCTACATCTAAAATTTAATGAATGAATCAGTGCTTTTTCCATGCTTTTATTAATCAGTTGCTATCTCATGTACATCACCATCTCCAGTGTGCAGTGGAAATTAGACTATAGTATACATCAGAAAAACCAACAGATCAGTGTCTACCTGAACTGCAGACAGCTCGACTGGAACTTGGAAGAATTATTGTTACCATCAGACTCACTGCATTTTCTTGAATTAAAAAATAGTATATAACCATGATTTGTAAAACATTATTTGTTTGATGCTGAATTTTTGAATGAATATAAAAGAAAACAAAAAGTTATTTGAATTGGTTGTTTGACAGAAGCATTTGTGTGATTCATTCTGTAAAAAAATGACAAATTCTGTATAATCAAAATATCAAAAAAGATACATGTACAAAACTGATCTTAATAGTTTTCAAATCACCACTTTCTAAGATTTTAAGTGTCCATGAATTTCACTAATATTTTTCAAATTAACTGGCATTTACTTGCTAATTCAGTGTGCGCCAAAAGCACTAGCCTGATGCGCTGGAACACTATAGTAAAAAATTTGGTCAGGCTAGTACAATGTTTGTCGAAACTAGCCCGATTAGCCAATCAGATTAGTGGAATTTTCATTGATATATGCCTATTTTTATCAGTATTGTTAAAATTGTTAGTGAGATTTTTGTCTTAAAAATTAATAGTATATACAACTTTATCAATGATTTTCGTATGATTTTCGTATCCCAGTTGATGTCTTTCTGTCCATGCTTTGTTTGGTATTTATAGTTTATTGTTCCTGTTAGATCACTATGTTAAATTGCTGAAGAATTTGAACAAGGGAAGGGTTCAAGGAAAAAAGTTGCAGAGACTAGCTGCCACTATTTAAAGTTAAGAAACAGCAAAGATTTCAAAAAAAATCTTAGGACTGAAATGAAACTGTCATTTAATTTTTCACACTTTTCAAAGGACTAGGAGGGGAGGGGGGCTAGTCCAATTGGGCTAACACTGAAAGAAAAATTTGCACACATGGCTTATTTCAATCACTTAATACTGCTCTGCATGTGTGACTTCAAAGCAAAAATATTCATGGATTTCTTTGCAACAATTTCACCTAAATTAGGAGATTATCATAAAAAATGGAAACCAAAATAAATACCATGAAAAGTAAACTAATTAACATGATAAATGTACACAACATCCTTAAAAAAAATTATTTATAAATAATTTGGAAATGCATACAAATGTAAATTTGATGTGCATTTAGTAAATTATGGTGATATTTAATTTGCCTTAGTTTAATTTGCACCATTTTTACTTTTTGATTTATTTTAATCATAATGTGATATAAAATCTATTACAAGCATTCATATAAAAAGCACAAATTTTTCATAATAATTAAAATAGGACTTCCTTTTTCTGCACCAAGTGCATACTGTGGGGATCTAAGAAGTCTGATTTGAATTAGATTGGCAATAATTTACACTTAACTCTCACCAAAAATGTAAAATTCATAGCCCATGGTTTAGGCCCAAGAATGGGGCTTAATTTGGCATATATTGATAATACATTACTTGTCTGATAATCTTCAAGAATATAATTGTCAGTTTAACATCCAAATGTAGCTGTCAAACTGTAAGAACAATGACACAGAGTTCTTAGCTCTTATCAAAATTATAAAATTTTGTGTAATAGCCATGTATTTTATAGTTAACATTTGTCCAATACTTTGTCTCAGTTTTATATCTTCATTTGGAAAACTGAACGACTGCATTATTTGTAAAATTTAACATTAATATAATGAATTTTCTGATTGTAGACCAGGGCTGCTATAATTTAGTTCAGAGACCAACAACAAGTCAGCCATTAACGACTAGGCATTTGTTTCTGTCAACAACAGGACTACACTTTATTGGTAAAGAAGCAACAGAGGGGATTCCATCGACAACCTCATCAGGAGACTCTTTCACTTCAGACAACATAACAGAAAGGTTTATATTGATTACAAGAGGGTAGTGGTTTTAATGATCCATAAACATTTCAATAAGATGCATATCTTGATACTATGCTTCTATCTCATTTAAGGAGGTTCAATTTTGTGCATTTGAGCAGATTTTTGTCTGGAACTGTATATCTAAAATTCTGCATCATATTTTAGCTGAAAATAAATATGGATTCTACAGTGCCAAATAAACTACATTCAATTTAAAATCTACAATTAAATTCAATACAAGAGGCATTAAGTAAAGGACTATATTTTGTGATGGAAGTTTTTTATACCCCCCGCAAACGAAGTTTAGGGGGGGTATATTGGAATCAGCTTGTCCGTCTGTCTGTCTGTCCGTCTGTCTGTAGACGAGATTTTGTCCGGACCATTTCTTGGAAACTGTTGCAAGGATTTGTCTGAAAATTTGTACACTTATTATTCGCCATATGAAGGTGTGCACCTGGTATTTTCATCATGATTGGATAATTTTTTTGCATTTTACAGGTGTTTTTTTCATTTTTATTATATGGTTTTGTCCGGATCTGTTTCCAGAGACTATTGCATAGATTTGTATGAAAATTTGTACACTTATTATTTACCATATGAAGATGTGCACCTGGTATTTTCAACATTATTTGATAATTTTTCTGCATTTTACAGTTTTTTTTTTCATTTTTATTGACTTAGTCATTTCGGGTACATGTCTAAGGTTTGAGACATAGAATCTAGAACATCTGTACAAAAATGTGAATTACAGCTTAAAACAACTCATTAGAACTAAAAAAAATCACAAAGTATTAAAAACAGTTTTTACATTACACAGTAGACAGTGTAAATCCATTTGTCCCTTGGGAGTAATGAGTGGACATGCATCCAGTTAAAGATTAATTAATGAGTTCAGTGTGGGAAGCTGTTAGGACATCTCTGATCAAGCAGGTCTTATCTATATCTCCTGGGAATTGGGCAGAAAGAAATAAAGATCTCTGTTGTCTAAGTCTCTTAATTGTAATTTATGTCTGTCAAAATACATAGTTACTGGAACCAGCCTTTTATTTTTAAAATTAGTTTGATATAAAGGTATTAAGATCAATTTGATTTTGTATAATTGATATTTTTTTTTCAACAATCAATTTGCAGTGTCATGTCTCACAAAGATGACAGATAGTTGCAAACTATTTTTTCAATGTAATAAAAAACACTGTAATTATTAGTATTGATGTTTTATTAGCCTGCACCTTAGTTTCATTCATTAAAAAAAATATGAGTAATTAAATTTTCACTCGAAATGTTTAAGCAAATTGTGAACACCTCTCACATCTAGAAAACATTAGTGATTTGGTACCTTCTCTGAAAAACACAGCGGGGGGTATTTGTCCCTTTTGGACAGTTCTAGTTTTTTTAAAGTATTTACAGTACTGTTAAGTTTGGATGCCTATTTTACCATGCATGCTGCACACAGAATTGTGTAGTGAGATATAATTTGCTGATCCCAAAATACATACGGAATTAACCAAAATGAATCATATTATCATACTGTGAGAAATACTTTGACAAATATAGCAAATATATATAGTAAAATTAAAGTAAAAGCTTAACCCCAAGTTAAGCTGAAAATGAATTTACATCATAAATACCCACTTAACATGAACATGTATGAATTTTTTTTTTAATGTGAAGTTTCTGGGGAAAATTTTCAAGTCTCTTTTTTTTTCTTTTTTTTTTTTTTTACATTTTACACAATGATTTATATCTATATAAATCAATGAATCTATAAATCATTCATTGTGTTAAGAGTCTGTATTAGCATATCTGATAATGATTTTTTAAAATGTTTATTTGATTTCATTTTTTTTTAGATCAGGCAGTGAAGATTCAGTACCATGTTGTGGTATTGCTGAGGTAGTTGTGATAGTTGTATCTCTGATTCTTTCATTGACAATATTTGTTGCATTCCTTGTGGTCTACCTTTGGAGAAAAAGACAAAAAAGAAAGTACAGCCACAAGCAAAATGGTACGTGTATACAGCAAAAATTGGTAATTTATACTGAATTTCAAGGGACCAAGGAAAAAAAAACTTGTTACCTTAATTTGTTACATTTTTAGCTCTTCTGAGCCAGAGGCTCAAAGAGCTAATGCTATGGCCATTTGTGCGATGTGCGTAAACTTTTTAGAATATTGGCCATAACTCAAGAACCCCTTGGCCAATTATTGTCAAATTTGTCACAGGGTATCCTTGGCCCAAGGGCTCCCGTTTATACTAAAACTAGGGCTGTGACCCTTAAACAAGGGGAGATAATTAGGAAAATAGAAACAAAAGTACTGGTTGCTAAAAAATCTTCTCAAGAATCACTGGGCAGATTATCACCAAACTTACACAAAAGGATGAAGATATGTTGTACATTAGAAATTTTACAAGGCATCACCCTGGGACAAAGGACGTGGTCTCAAGGTCACTTCAAAGTTGACCAAAAACTACATTTTATTAAAATGTTGATATTTTGTTTACTATAAGGACTAGGATCATCAAATCTTGTCAGTTGATGCATCAAAGGACCTCATATCATGTTGACTCAAAAGTAGGTCACGGTGACCTACTTTTTAAATTTTGCAGCCGTTATTTTTCAAAATGATTTAGAGGCATATTTTGAACAATTTAAGGCCAATGATCATCAAACTTTGTCAGTTGATGTATCTTGGGTCCTCGGAGTACATCGACTAAAAAGTAGGTCACCTTGACCTACTTTTTAGCTCACCTGAGCTGAAAGCTCAAGTGAGCTTTTCTGATCACATTTTGTCTGTAGTCCGTCTGTCTGTCCGTCTGTAAACTTTTCACATTTTCGACTTCTTCTCCAGAACCACTGGGCCAATTTCAACCAAACTTGCCACAAAGTATCCTTGTGTAAAGGGAATTCAAGTTTGTTCAAATGAAAGGCCATGCCCTCATTCAGGGGGAGATAATCCAGAAATAGTGAAAATTTGGTGGCATGTTTTAAAAATCTTCTTCTCAAGAACCATTGGGCAAAAAAGTTGAAACTTTTAGGAAACCATTTTTACATAGTGTAGATTCAAGTTTATTCAAATGATGACCCCCGGGGGTAGGGTGGGGCCACAATGGGGGATCAAAGTTCTACATAGGAATATGTAGGAAAAAATCTTTAAAAATCTTCTTCTCAAGAACGGAAAAGCCATGATTAGTCATATTGAAATAAAAGCATCCTCAGGTAGTGTAGATTCAAGTTTGTTCAAATCATGACCCCTGGGGGTAGGGTGGGGTCACAATGGGGGATCAAAGTTTTACATAGGATGATAGGAATATATAGGGAAAAATCTTTAAAAATCTTCTTCTCAAGAACGGAAAAGCTATGATTAGTCATATTGATATAGAAGTATCCTAAGGTAGTGTAGATTCAAGTTTGTTCAAATCATGACCCCTTGGGGTAGGGTGGGGTCACAATTGGGGATCAAATTTTAATATAGGAATATATAGGAAAAAATCTTCAAAAATCTTCTTCCCAAGAACAGCAAAGCCATGATTAGTCATATTGATATAGAAGCATCATCAGGTAGTGTAGATTTAAGTTTGTTCAATTCATGACCCCCGGGGGGTAGGGTGGAGTCACAATGGGGGATCAAAGTTTTAGTTAGGAATATATAGGAAAAAATCTTTAAAAATCTTCTTCTCAAGAACAGCAAAGACTTGTTTAGTCACATTTATATGGAAGCATTCTCAGGTAGTGTAGATTCAAGTTTCTCCAAATAATGACCCCCCCCCCCCCCTGCAGTGGTAGGGTGGGGCCACAATGGGGGATCAAAGTTCTGCATAGGAATATATAGGCAAAAATATTCTTCTCAATAACGGAAATGCCATGTTTAGTCATATTGTTATGGAAGCATCCTCAGGTAGTGTAGATTCAAGTTTGTTCAAATGATGACCCCCTGGGGTAGGGAGGGGCCACAATGGGGAATAAAATATTTACAAAGGAATGTATAGGAAAAAATCTTCTTAAGAACAGAAAAGCCATGTTTAGTCATATTGATAAAGAAGCATCCTCAGGTAGTGTAGATTATAGTTTGTTCAAATGATGAAGGAAGGGGGGGGGGGGGGGTATGGAGGGGCCACAATGGGGGATCAAATTTTTATAAAGGAATATATAGGAAAAAATCTTTAAAAATCTTCTGCTCAAGAACAGCAAAAGCCATGTATTATATTGATATGGAAGCATCCTTAGTTTAAAATTCAAGTCCCCCCCCCCCATCCTATGTGCTTTTTCCTAGCTAATGTGCTCAGGTGAGCGATGTGGCCCATGGGCCTCTTGTTGAATTTTATGGCTAACCTTTTTCAAAACAATTAAGGTCATTAATTTGAATACTGAGAGGTTTAGAATCATGAAATCTTGTAAGATGATGCATCTTGGGGCCATAAAATATATTTATCAAAAAGTAGGTAACAGTGACCTACTTTTTGAACTTTGCAGGCATTCAATTTCAAAGTGTTTTAGAGGCATAATTTGGACATTTTAAGGCATATGATTATAAAACTTTGTAAGTTGATGCCTCTTGGGTCCTCGAAAAATGTCAACTGAAAAGTAGGTCACCTTGACCTACTTTTGTAATTTTATGGCTATATTTAAATATTTAGGGTACTATTTGGCTTAGAATCATCAAAATTTGTTAGTTGATGTATCTTGGGTCCTCAGAGTAGGTCGACTGAAAAATAGGTCACCGTGACCTACTTTTCAATTTATATGACTATAATTAAATATTTCGGGTGCTTATTGGCTTAAAATCATCAAACTTTGTCAGTTGATGCATCTTGGGTCTTCGAAGTAAGTTGACTGAAAAGTAGGTCACCGTGACATATTTTTGAAAAAATTTGACTTTAATTAAATATTTCAGGTACTAATTGGCTAATAATCATCAAACTTTGTCAGTTGATGCATCTTTGGTCCTTGGAGTACGACAACTGAAAAGTAGGTCACCATGACCTACTTTTGAAATTTTATGGCTGTATTTAATATTTTCGGTTACTATTTGGCTTAGAGTCATCAAACTTTGTCAGTTGATGCATCTTGGGTCCTCGGGGTATGTCTACTGAAAAGTACATCACGTACCTACTTTTCAATTTATATGGCTTCAATGAAATATTTAGGGTACAAATCATCATACTTTGTCAGTTGATGCATCTTGGGTCCTCGGAGTAAGTTGACTGAAACGTAGGTCACTGTGACCTACTTTTGAAATTTTTTGGCTTTATTTAAATATATCAGGTACTTATTGGCTTAGAATCATCAAATTTTGTCAGTTGATGCATTTTGGGTCCTCAAAGTATGTCATGTGAAAAGTAGGTCTCTGACCTACTTTTGAAATTTTATGGGTATAATTCTAAAAATATTTTAGGTATTAATTGGCTAAGAATCATCAAACTTAGTTGATGCATCTTGGGTCCTCAGAGAATGACAGGTGATAAGTAGGTCACCATGACCCACTCTCAGGTACTAATTGGAATCATCTTGGGTTCTCAGAGTGTTTCATCTAAAATGTAGGTCATGATGACCTACCTTTGGAATTTCAAGACTTTATCTAAATACATGTATACAGTATACTTAGAGGCTTCAAATAGAAGTGATAAGTTGTACAGTTTATCAGAAGAGCGATTCAAAGCCCTTGGGCCTCTTGTTATAATGAATGTTTGAATGTACACAAGAAACTTGATTGCAAAATATGGAGGGAAACATTTGATGTACATATAACAACAATGTATGTATTTATTTAGCACATTGCATGCAGAAAGAAATTTTCAGTTCACCTGAGCTGAAACCTCAAGTGATATTTTCTGATCAACTTTGGCATCGATCTGTTTATCCGTCTGTCTATCTGTCTTTCTTCCGTCTGTAAACTATTCACATTCGACTTCTCTAACCAACCTTTGCACGAAGAATCCTTGGTAAAGCAGATTTTAAAATCATTCAAATGAAGGGCCAAGTCCCCTTTCAAGGGTAGATAATCAAGAATAGGCAAAAATAGGGTTTAATCCTTTAAAAATTTTCTCAAGAACCACTTGGCTAGCAAAAGTGAAACTTTCATGGAAAGTTCCAAAAGGAAGTGTAGACTTCATGTTGTTCAAATCATGACCCTCGGGGCTTTGGTGGGGCCACAATAGGGGATGAAAGTTTTACATTGAAATATGTACGAAAAATCTTAAAAATTTTTGTAAGAACTACTGGGTCTGAAAAGGTTAACTTTCATTGAAGGTTTCTGAGGAAGTGTTGATTTAAAATTCTTCAAGTCATGACCCTTGGTGTTAGGATGGGGCCACAATGGGGATGAATTTTTTACATTGAAATACATAAGAAATAGAGAACATTACTACTAAAATTCATATCATATGTCATATTGACTGGTACTGTCTAATAATAGACTTTTAAAGATTGATATATATGGCTCATCTCATCTTTTGTAGAACTAAGCTTTGATCTAAATGAAGAAGATAATCAGAATGAGCTCATTATATTATCTGGACCAGTGGTGGAAGCAAGCTCAGGTAAACATGTTTTAAGTGATTTTCTAGTACATTTAAAAGTTTAAACATTAGGACAAGTGTAGTAGACACCATTTTGAAGTTAATAATTTGTTTTGTTCAGTCATCTATGTCAGAGGAGAAATATCTGAGACTGCTGAAAAAACACCCCTGCTATGGACTTGAAAAAAATACACAAAGCATATATTTGTTAATATGTTTATCACTGGGTATTGTGGCATAATTTAACTTCTGTGAATGTAATCTTTACATGCACTTACAAGGTGAAAGTTCTCTAACTTAGAAAGTTATAAACCCAGAAATCTGTAATGAAAAAAGGAGGCAATAAATTTGAGGTAATTCTTCACTCGTACTTTGCAGAAGAAAATGATGCTCTGGTGCATCCATCCAGAGAATTGCTGAAACATAACAATAAGGGTATGTTCATTTTCTTTTTGTCTATCAGGACTAAAACATGAAAACATATTACTTGTACAAAGCATTTTAACATACCTTCACTGTAGTCCTATCAAAAAACAAGTACATCAGTAAATTCATCCATGGGGTTTTTGTTTAAGAGCATGCGATAAGTCCTTCATGTCCTTTTATCATATTTAAATGAAAGCATCCTCATTTATGTATGCAAGTCAAAGTTATTGATCCATCTTTTTCATCAGTAATACAGTAAAATTTGTCTTATCCGGACTCTGATTACTCTGGAAATTTGTCTATTTCGGCTATAAATTCTAGTCCCATGCACTTCTTTAACAAATGTATTATAAGAAAATTCCATGTAGTCCAAATACTGTTTATTCTGTATTCCAAACGGTCAAATTGGTCCCAACTACTCATAATTAGCAGTAATTATTTTCTTTAATCCGGCCACCCATAATTACCTGTCACTTTAATGCAATTAACACCTTTTGACTTTATTAAGCCCTTCAAAAAAAAAAACTGGATGTTTCAAAAGATTCAAGATTTGCTTAATTATGAGTTGAATATGTAAAAGAAGTTAAAATCAAAAAAAAAAATGTGTAAAAAAGGACTGTTCTGGAAATTGACTTCATTAATTTTCCTGGCTTTTAAAGAGAAAAAGCTTCAAAAAGACTCGTAAGATATATATATATATACACATATATATATAGTAATACATAAAACATAATACATTAAACAAATGTTTTATGGTAGATAGTCTCTTCTAATCTAAGAGTCATGCAGTAAACCTATTAAAATGTTGCATCAAGATTACGCAATTTTTTTTTTCATGTTATAAATCTTTGAAACAAATTTAAGAAAAAAAACTTTGTTTTCAACAGAATGACATAAATATGCATTTTTTTGAACTACAGACTACAAAGCAGATATTGCAGATCCATTCATCCCTTGGGAGTAATGAGTGGTTATGCATCCAGTTAAAGATTAATTAATGAGTTCATTGTAAGAAGGCTGAAG